CCACCACACGAACTTTGTTGTCAGGACTCGGGTAGGTTTTCAGTATCTGGCCTCGGAAGCTACGAGTATCGATATGATGTTGAGTAGACGATCATCCTCAGTTGGCACGCGGCGTATAAGGTCGCACCGTGCCCGGCGGGGCACCACTTCATCCAACTCTACCAGAAGTGATTGGCGAAGAGTTGGCACGTTCGCCAATTTGCAGGCCCAAGTAGTACATCTTCGTCAAAGTGACTCACTGCAACGACGCCGCAGGACCAACCGATTAAGAACTGATTAGGCGTGGGGCTTTCGACCTTCATAAGTTCGGTATTCAATTCTGTCAATGGCCTTGGATTACCAATGTACTCGGCTTCCAGAGAAGTATTTCGTCGCGAGGGCTCTTCTCTCTCAGTATAGCAACCGACGCGGTTTTAATGAATTGCATCATACATTCCCAAGTGCCGCTCATCTTTGGTGTGCTGGGAGGTATAAATTTCCTACAGATGGTACTGTTGGAAATGGACGGGCTGGACTTCTCTTCTCGTGTTCTCGTGTACCTCTTGACATGTTTATTAATTCTCGATTTATGCCGACGAAATTTGTGCTGTTGCCAGGGTACATTAGTTTCGGAGTTCCTCTGCGAGCGACAAATCTTAGAGTCCGAATATAAAAACTCTGCTACCTGTCTCTATGTGTACGGCACGTGTTGTCAAACAGGTAAATAGCGCTCCGTATCGCTTTTCATATAAGCGGCGTATCGTTACCGTCATTGGCCCGAAATGATCTATACCGGTGCATATGGATGAAGGTTGATGGTGATAAAGGCGCTCAGGAAGTAGATCACCTTTCATAGACGGAATTTTAGGCAAACCTTTGTTCACCTTACACCATCTCCATTCAAAGGAGATTTTTCTTAATTTTAATGGCAGTGTAATATAATATTGTTGTCCTATCTTATTTATCACGGTGATACGATTTCCGTGATTAAAAATTTCGTGAATTGTTTCCCAATTCATCGATTTCTAATGCAAACTTTCGCAAACGGATTTTTTGGATGACTGCTATGTTCTCTCGAATGAGTATCGTCTCTTCTTTAAAACGTTTTTGCGCCTCGATCAAAAGTTACATTATTTCTTTTTGTATATATTTGCAGCTTAAATATATAAGGCGCCGATCGTTCTAATTGCATTTTCCGTCACATTTTCGGGCTGGAATATGTATTTTTACTTTAGTACGTTTCTACGTTGGATTGAGAATGATTTTCACTGCCGTTCTCTTTCGTTTCATTGCGTGCACTTTGTATTTGATCCGAAATAAATCTATCACTTACAATAATCTGGCTGTACTTAAAAATAATCGGGTCCAAATCGAAAAATAATTCGCACCTGGTACGACTTGGGAAGTTTCTTTACTAATCGAGTTAAAAATCATACATGACGTTTTTGCCACCGTTCTAGCATCGGTATAAAATATTTTTCGGGGCACGTTTATTTCGATTTCTTTAGTGATCGATGATGTCATTCGAGCATCTAGCAGCTCGAGTCCAGGGATTAATATCATTTTCAAAAGAGCGATGTGAGCTTTTTCTGCTATTAAAGAAACTGCAGTTTCGTTTTAACTCAGTCTCATACGTTAATACACGGCTGCCGACTACGACATCTCGCTCGTGTCGACAATCATGTGAATCTCCCCTTTGGTGTGGCCGAGTGATATACATTGAGGTATTTTTAATGGCGACAATTTAATGAATTCGTTCACCCATTTGAGAAACTTTCCATGATCATCAACTTTTACTAGTTCGTCTCAGTCGATCCCTGATCTCCATATATCCTGCAACATAATTTTACCTAAAACATAGTCACCAGAACGAGCGAAACTAGGGTCAAAAACGCACATCAATAGACTCATAGCCTGTATTTGCAGTACTTCGGTAGGCGTATTCCATAGGCTGAGGTTGAAACCTAAGGTGTCTTTTTGGTTTTCAGGTTGCACATTGACATCAGTTCATGTGTTGGATACTCATTTATGACGTCAATTTCATTACTAGCCCGACTACGTAACTCGAAACCACTTTCCTGTAAACCTCGTATACTTGTTTCCGCTTAGCTTCCTCAATACTATCGAAACTTTTCAAGAAGTCATCGACATAGTGATCTAATCGCATCGCTTTACACTCCTCAGGGTACTCATTTCCAAATTCTGATGAGTTGCGATTTTTATACAGATCAATGTACATGGCCATGATGCGGCGCCGAAAATCAGTTACCTCAAGTAGGTACTTTTGTAGATTCTCGCTACAATTATTTCGATATATATCACAGACTGTCATGATCCTTTTCTCTCATTTTTACTAGCAAAAGAGTTTTTTTGATATCAGAACCGCTACATGCCCATGTCTAAATCATATGAGCACACCCAAAAGCAACTGTATTAAATCGAGGCCCATTTGTAACGCGTCGTTTAAGCATTTTCCGTGTGTATCAAATACTAGGTGGATTTTGTTTTTTTACGGGTACGTGACGATAAAATGAGGCTATTACCATAAGCGGCTAAATTAGTCGCCGCTGACTCTGCTTACCAATTTTTAACATTTCATTTAACTATACACAATATTTGTTTTTCAAACGCTCATTTTTTAGTTAATAATTCGTGTAATCTCATAAATAACTTGAAATTGCAATTAGAGTTGTGTTTTTTTAGCCTATTAATTTTATGTTTTACAATTTTTATTTCAAATTTTTTCTCGTCCTTGCTGTTTTCCTACAATTTAAAAAAATGATTTTTCTTCATCTCTTCTCGGAGGTGAATTTAAAAAAGTACTTTAACAGTTGGTTTTAAATTTTTCAAAATAACTTATATCAAAAATCCAAGTATTTTTCTTAAAATTCGTACTTAAAGGTTTATTTTTTTTAATTAAAAGAGGTGTATTTATCATTTTATATTGAAATTATACACTTTACATAATAATAACCATTGTGCTTTTATAATTAAAATAAAAACCTTCTCACTTTTAAAATAAATTAAATCTTACCTTTTTAAAGTTGACAATCTTATGAACTCAAATCTAAAAATCTAAGCTTAAGACATACAAAACGTTCAAAGTGAAAATTATTTGTTAAAAAGTTTAAAGTGTAAATAAAAATTTAACAGTAGTTCATTGATTTTACATCTATGCAGTATTTTCGTTAGGTTTGTGTAAGAGTATAATTTTTAACTGTGGAAACACAGAAGAACTATAAATTACTTGACGATTCAAGTTGGTTGACTTTGACATACTCAGCGTATCTGACGATTTGTTTTGTTGATTCTATAAAGGTTAGTTTCGAGGTAAAATTGTGCTGTGGATAAATCGTCGAGAATCAGTTATTTCGCCGAGTATTCGTGTGAACTTGGTTTAAATGCTAAATGAGTTCCAGAAATTTTACTGAGTTTAATTCGTTATATTATGATGTAAATAACCTAAAATTTCAGTTCAATAATGTTTGGAACAGATCGTCCCAAGTATATACGACCCGGTAAGTTTCTAAATAAGTGTTGAGTATTTTTTTAACTTTCTAGGAGTATTTTTCGCTGCTGAGTCTGTATGGACGAAAGTTTCATTTAGTTCGTGAGTTTTGTTTTTTGTGGCCATGCTCCAAGATTTATTAAAATTTCTTTTATCATTACTAGTTTTTTTTTTGCTACCCTTGATAGCCCTTTTACCTTCTTACTTTAATCTAATACATGCCTAATAGCATATTAAAAAATTTAAAATCTGAAAATTGATAAAATTTATTAAATCTGTCAAAATCAGTTATGAACTCATGCAAGTTTAATTTTGTTAAATATTTTCATTGACTGCTTTTAATAAATTAGTATGGTTTTTTGCTAGGGTTTCCTATAGCAAGCTTATGACCATGATACCACTCAAAGTCCTAGAAAGTTGAAATTTGGTATTGAATCTAGGATTTGCATTTAATATAAAATTAAGAAATCCATATCTTTCACCCTTCAATCTCCATAAAAAAGTGTGCAAGTCTATATTTAAAATTTCTTAGGGATAGGCACTTCCATTTCTTATCAAAGGTACCTATATTACTAAATTGAATTTCATCATATGTACTAAGAATAGATAAATCTGTGTAAGGAGTTGTAAAGAAATATTTTTTTTATTAATTGCTAGCTGACCCGACAGATGTTCTGCCCTTTCTTGTAGATGGCTTGCCTATATAGTTAATGTCCGCAGCTCAGAATGATTTTTTTCAATTTTTGTATTGATCAATGTCAATCTTAAGCCCGGTCTCTTTTTCAATTCCGATTCCAGTGATACTTCTAATTCTGACTGATCCCACACTCTTTTCCAATCCCAGTCCTGTTCTTAATTTCAGTCCCATCTTTTATTGTGATCCGGTTCCCGTTCAGCTTTCAATTTTTATTCTGCTATAAATCACGGTTTCGATTTGGATGAAGGTGAGGGTAAACAATGTAGTTTTCAAAGAAAAAATTATTTTAATTGTGAGGTTAACACGAAAGTAAACAAAACTGAAAATGTCTATTTTCAGTTGAAAGTTGAAAATGGTACAATTTTTTCAATCATTTAAGCTTTTGAGTTTATAAATACCTATAATTACTGTAATTTATAACTTGGTTGCATAAATAACAAATATTGGTACAAGTATATTACTTACATGGAGGTCTTCACATTTCTGAATTCAACAAATCGGAAGTTACTAATTATTGCAAAGAAAGTGGCCACTGTAAAACAGTCAATTTTCAGAAAATTTGAAATTTTTGCCTTAATAAATCCACTTTCATGATTACCAAGAAATTATTGATAGATTACAAAATTATTGTGTAAAATAAAGGGAATCATAAATTATATTACAAGCTCAATGTAATAAATTAACAACCTTTGGAAGTAATGAAATAAAAATTACAACAAATAGAATGAAGGAATGGTAATAAAATATAACAATAAAAAATATAATCAATGTTCCATTATAAATTGACATAAAAAGAATGCAAGACTAAAAAAAGCCAACATCGCGTGGTGTACTCAGACGGTTACCCATCCAAGTAATGATTGCGCTTGACGGTGCTCAGCCTTGGTGATCGAATAGGAACCGGCGTATTCAGCGTGGTATGGACATTGGCAAATGAATTTATATAAATCGTAACTAAAGCAACAGCGGTCAGCATTTTACACTGCGGTTTTAGTATTTTTCCTGTAGCTCCCATCCGTCGAGCGCCTAGTGTAACGTGCGATAAGGAACTTCATTTCAATAATGAAATTTGGTAAATAAAAGCTTTTTTTTTAAATAATCTCTACCTCATAATAAAAATAATTTTCTTTACATTTTTTGTTATGCAAAATCTTCAATAATTTCTGATAAATTTATATTGTCGCAAACTTTTGGCTCTATTGATATAATAGCCAATCCAGATAAGCTATTCTGTGTCCAGATGGATCTAATACACTTTTTATTTAGAAAAACCTTTTTCACCCATTGCAACTGTTACGAGTAAAGTTTAAAGAATCTTGAGCGCATTACTTATATTTAGATCAAATCTCCTATCCGTTACAAATTTCAGAACATTTTGAGAAAACAAATTACTGTTTAAAAATGTACAAAGAACTGATAACTCTTCTGAAAGTTGTATTGCATTTATATCACATGAGTTCTCGTGGTAATAAAACAGTCTCCAGATTCTTACAATGTTGTAACATTTCTTTTGCGTGTTCTCTCTGGACGTATATGTTATAAAAGAATGCTAAATTTACTATGCTCGTTAATCTCGGAAAACCTTAACTCTTAAAGAGTTTATAGCTGTATCTATAATGTGAAAAAATATTTCGATTTTATATTTCTAATTTCAATGATTGGTTCATCATTACATTCGTAACATAATTCCTTCTTAGATCAAGTACGAGGTTTAGGTACCTTTGAAGATGTACCTAAACCTCATGTTCAATTGAGTCTTAACATGTCGCAACCAATTCCAGAAGCTAAAGCTTTGGCATCTTCAAGAACTTGGTTAAAATACTCATCTGATCGTGAATTTTCAAAAAAATCTTTGGTATTTTTTAGTAATTCAATAAAAGAAACAGTCAAAATCTTTATTTTGCATTAATTTACTATAAGAATTTTTCTGATTCAAAATTTTGTACCAAATTATCATACAACATAAAAATTTAAACTATTTAATTTTATGCCACAAATTCGATGCTTCGCCGTGTAGGTATCCATATCTGTGTTTTGGTAAACACTAAAAAATTCAGCATAAAAGTGTCCTATTTGACATGTTTACTTAGTACCTTATTCATTGTGTTATGTAAAAAAACATTTAAACGAACCGTGGTTTACTTGATATTGGTGGAGCGGGCCCTTAACATGGTATTAAAAACTCAAAATAAGTTACTTTGAGATTAAGTATTATCAGATTATGATTGTTCTTTTCCTAGACTTAAATTGGATGTCTTACAAACCACAATAATCTATGACTTACTGACAATTTAAATGTGTGTTTTTGTAGGTGATGAGCCGTTGTATCCTGCAAGAAGTAAAGATGGGAACATAGATTTACTTATTAAATCTGATTCTGATTCGGCTTTGGCAATAGACAAGGATGCCAAAACAGATTTTGTGTATAATCGATACCATCATTTACCACTTGAAACCCAACGACAAAAGTTACCTATATTTCAATACAGAAATCACATTCTGTATTTGTTGGAAAATCATCAGACTCTAGTGCTGGTAGGAGAGACGGGCTCTGGCAAATCAACTCAGATACCACAGGTAAATATATATAGAAAAAGTATATATGATGTAATGTAAAGTTTATTCATAAAAAAATATTAAAGTATGACATTATGTACTATCATTCTCCCAGTTTTTAAACTAAGAACTACATGGAGACTGTGGTCTACTAGTTTAGGCCACTGAGGCCCAAGGAGTAAGACATAGTTAGCATATCATGCCAGCATAGTGTAATTTTGAATTGTGTGGGCAATTTTTCATTTGGGGCTTGGTCAACATGTACAATCAGTGATAATTTTTGATAGATATTGCAATTCATGTTTTGGATGTTCACAAGATAAATTATGAGTTTGATTTTTTATTAGATTCTTATGCAATTTCCAAGTAATTTTAAGATTTTTCAATATCCTTATAATACCTACTTAGAAACGTTTTCAGAATATAACATTAAAATACAGTATGACAATACAACATTGTACAACATGTACATTAAATGTATCACAATACTGTAAGTATTGTGATACATTTAAAGATCAGTATTTTATAGGTCATTTGTATTAGTATTTTATGACAATCTCCTATTCACAAAATTTGCAGAAAATTGCTCATGATTTTTTTCACTTTTTGCAGCATATATTTTATTGTATGGAAAATTATTCTCGGAAATAGAATATACAAAATATATTTACAGATTAAAATTAATGAATGACCATTTCAACTCACTACTAATAATTATCATTTGTAAATTTTATCCAAAACTGCAAAAAGTTTTTAGTGAAAAAATACAACTATATAAATGTCATAATTATAATGTTTAATTTCATTACTGTCATTATTTGTAGTTATAATTCATTTTAATTATGTCAATTTGTTACTGTGTTTATTAATTAGTATTTATTCATTAAAGTTGTGTATTATTTGTTATTGATATTGTTAATTTTACAATGTATTCCTAATAATTTTAGTTTAATAGTAAGTAATTCATGGTATGGGTGTACTAATAATATTAAGAGAAAAATTCGGATTTGCATTTTGAAATTTCAAGGGTGTTAAATAGAGGACGAGAATTTATACAGGGATTCCGGTCCGTTAGAGAAATGTAAAAAAACTGTTTCCCTATCTCTGAATATTTTAACCCAATTTTTCACGCTATAGGTGTAATTTTGCACCTTATTTTTTACTCTATTTAGTGTAAAATCGGTACCGGAAAAATTTTACTATTATCATGAAACTTTATTTACATTGGCTAACAGCAATGTTCTTATGAATATAAAATCTCTTTGTAAATTGTATATTAATAAAAAAATATTTTTCAAATTTAAGTTTTCATTATAAACTTAATATATAGGCAGTGCTACATTCACCCACAATGTACACACAGGCGCAATACATACATGTGTCCGCGGCGCCCGTAATAAGCAAAAGTTCATGAATACATATTGCTGTCTGCTCGCGCAATTTCGCTTCTAACGTTGAAAAGTTCAAAGTCAAAACTGCGCACCTTTGAAAGGCCTTGTTCGTACTGCGGCATTTTTAAAAGAACTGTCTAAATATGCCTTACGTTAATGTTTGCTGAAAAAAATTTTTTTGGCTTCTGTTACATGTAAAGAGCGCCCCCCTAGAAATATTAATTTTTGTTATTTAACTACCAATTTAAGTTGCAGCTTCCACAAAACACCCACACTACATGCCTGTGACATACGAACGGACGGACAAAAGTAAACTATAAGAGTTTTGTTTGTGTCATTTTTGTTCGAAACCCTAAAAATGAGTCCGTATTTTGTTCGTCTTCGTTGTGTCTAAACCACTCATCTTTAAACCAACCGACAAACTTTAAAGTTACCTCAAAACTGTCTACACGTTCTCGGAAATGGTCTCCTAAATTTTGAGACATTTGGTTTTACTCCAGTCCAATGCGCGTATAGATGTTTCACATCAATTATGTCAAATTGGAAATCGATTTGTTTTAGATAATAAGATTACGGGTTGCAGTCAAAAGGAGGACCGCGATCGGAATCAAAAGTGGTACAAAGTGATGTCGAGAGCGGGACCGGGGTCAGGAGCGAACACGCGGTAGCGGTCGGGATTATGGTTAGGATCGTAGCCAGGCAATATATAAGATGGAAGAATTCATTTTATGTCCTCGTCGAAGGAGCCGCGGGCGGAAGCTAGTACATAATTAAATAATTACGGATGTTCCATGCTAATATAGCACATCATCAGAATTACACCAACAACAATATCCACCTGTGTGTCCAGGAATCTGTTACTCGCCGCAACCAAATGTGTCCTTGCACCAATGATACAAAGCAACAACCCATTCACCGTTGTAGACCACGATCTGTCATATACGTTTGTTAACAGTTACAAGATAACCAACAACAAACGTGAGCAAAATTGTTGCAGGCAAGCCTCCAACAACACCGATTTGTTAATATTAATTTGGTTATTTAGCATGTTGATGCTATTTTTGTGTTTTGAAATTTCCAGCGATTCTAAATAATTTAATTGCAAGCTCTTCTCACGTACATGTAATACATCAAAAGTATGGTTCGTGTTAATTTCGTGACAAGCTTCTATTAAATGTTTAGCAAAAATTGAATTGTTAATTTTATCTCAATACCGAAATACTCGTATGTTCTTTATATCTGATTTCGAAACGTCTAGTCTGACCAATATATATATTTATATATATTTGCATTCTTCAGAGATCAATTTATTAGGTCGGGGAAAAACTTTTTTCTTATATTATAAGAAAAAGTTGAAGCAAAATCTTTGTGGTTTTTTTGTATCTAGCTAGTTTTGATACCATTAAATAGATGATATTTATAAAAAAAAAGTAAAATGAAAACGGTGGCCCGCCATTTTGTACTGTAGAAACTCGATACATTTTGAACAGTTTTATTACAAAAAGAGAGAAATGCGACAAACGTCAAAAAAGAAAATGTGACGTTTATGAATCTAATGCAGTGTCTGTAAGTGTAACACAACACCGGTTCAAGAGTTTTCAGTCCGGTAATTTTGATGTCAAACACGAACCTCGCTCTGGTCGACCTGCTACGGGTAAAGTCGTTGTTATTTTGGAAAGAGTAGAACAAGATCGGCGTACTAGTTCTTAAGACACAGCTGAAAAGCTGAGGATTGACTACAAAACAGTTTTCTCCAATTTGAAAAACGTTGGATATAAAAAAAAGGTCGGTACTAGGGTCCAACATGAGCTCGCTAAAGAAATCTAATAAATCGTGTACTCATTTGCGATTCTCTATTGAACTAAATGAAACCGAATTGTTTTTGAAAAATTGATCACTGCTGATGAAAAATGTATTACCTACGATAAGAACGTGCTCATAAGATCATAATTAAAGACAAGCGAGCTCTATGGACTAAAA